AAATAAAAATTCTAAAATTCCACAATACCATGATGTCCATGAGCAGTATAACATTTTATCCATTATAACTTACCTCGATGCTTACAAGAAGTATCTTCATAAACACGAAATTCATCTTGAACAAAAATTAAAATTAATACCAAGATAATATGTGATCAATATGTATTAATATCAGGTATATGTTACATCTTTTATCGTAAAAATAAATAATGCTTTGCTGATATTTCAATAAGAAAAAAAATTATTAAAGTAATATAAAGTATGGTTTATGGAAGACATCAAGCTAATTAAAAAAAGAAAAAAAAATTAGAAGTAATTAATGTAAAGCTATAGACATAATAACAATTTCCCTAAGTATCATTTTTCAAAAACTGCAGTTTTCCTATTAAAATTAATCTACATTTTTTTAGTAATAATAAATTAGTATTGGATAGATATTAATATTAAAGTTTTTTCATTTTTTTAATGGATTGAAATAATAACATTTGATTACATTTATAAAACGAATTTAATATATTGGAGTTCTGCAAACGATAATCAAAACGAAGTACGTATATGATCGAACTTTTTTTGTAACTTTTGATTTCTTCGGGTGATTTGTACAATCAAAGATATTAGTTCTAATAATCTAGTGTTGGAAATAAATTAAACACGTCATAATTTACGAGGTTATTTTAATTCAATTTTTTTTTTTTTTTTTACTATTTATTGTTATTTCATTATCAATGTACACAATCTGTCGTGTAATCAAGTAAGATGATACAATTTAACACTAGCTGATCCGGAAATGATTTCCTATTTCTAAATTGTATTGTATATTATTGTTCTGCCTGTGTGCTTATTCACCTCTGTAAATATAAAACATTACAATTTGTATGCTATCACTAGAATCATTTGTAAAAAATGAATAATCACTCAATTTTACTTATGCCAATGAAATATAGATTCGTTTTTGATACCTGTAACTACCACGGTTACGGTTTTTATTTTAATTTTTTATTGACGCTCGATAGCGCACTACGATTTGTGTTTTGGGCTAAAAAAATTACAACCTAACGAAATTCGACTCATGCCAACAGAAGAGTTTTTAATTATAATTAATAACCGTGTTGTTTTTAACACGGCAATACCGGTAATCGTTTTCTTTTTATTTTATTTCTCGCGAGCCGAGACACGAACCGTTCGAAGCTGGTGTCATCCATATCCGTACATTGTACTTTGTAGTAAAATTACATGGACTTGTCTCGGAAAATACGTACAAGACATTCGTTTCGGGTGCTTGATGATTTTATGATCGCCGTCGTACAACCGTAAATCACGTGAAAAATCAGTACAGTAATGTTAAGTGGCGATTTCGCGGTGGCTCGAGAAAAGTGATGGCGTACAGAAGATACGAAAAATAGTTATACGATCGTCGACGACCGGAGTGTACCGGTGGATGTCGCGCACGATCGGCTGATCGAAGTGTAAGGATTTGCGGTGCGCTTGCGGTGTAACCGAGAGAAAACTCTGGCCCTTTTGATCGTTCGCCGTACGCGTCAAACTCGATTAAACCATTTATGACAGTCATTGCCGACCTACGTGAACCATATAATATTAACATTACCAACGTGTTCGGTTAAAATATCAAATATCGGCCAGCGAAGCGAATTCATCGATTGAACTTTCGTGTGATTAGATTCCACAATCGGTTTTTTTAAAATCACACCATTAACGCCAATATATAAAATAATTAAGCTTTCGGCAATACTATCCAACAATCGGTAAAATTTATCTTAGAAACTTGATGGGCCATCTTACAACGACTTATTTTTCTACTAAAAAACAAATATGGGAATAAACTAAACGTTGAGAGTGATTTAAAGCGAAAACCATCCAGTTTCAATCCGGATATCGGCTCTCTTGCGGTGGACAACCGATGTCAAAGATCACATTAAATTATTTAACTCTTTAACAATCAGGTTCAATGAAGTTTTTTAAGTTTTAACAATTATTTATTTTTTATTCTTCTCGTAACAACTGACGTGTATATACATCAAATATGTACATAAGAAAAACTATAGGTGAGTTTCTTAGATTTTCTTTACGAAATTGATGATTCGCACTACTAGCCGCTGGTTTATGATATATCCACCTTCCCGGGACGGCATCCGAACATCTCGTTCATCGGACCCGATACAGACTCTAAAGTTACGAAAGTATCCGATCAGGAAAAACCGCGTAAGATTCGGCTCTAACAGGACCACCGAAAAACGGCGGGCAACGATCGATATGCTCGGGTTCGGTACAGCCGCCTCGGGGCGGTCGGTAATACGTCGGTGGTCGCACACGTGCCATATATTTTTACGATTTGCTCTGGTTAGTGTTTTTTTTTTTCTCCCCCGCGTACCGCAAATACGTAGGAATAACTTTTTCGTCCGACTCGTATCGCTAAACGCGCCTCGGAGAGAAACGCTAGAGCGATTTCGCTTTTCGCGTACGACCTTACATTTTGTGTGTTCACTGTTTTTCGTCCGGAACGTTTGTAAATGAAGCATAAGACACAACGTTATATGCGTTCTGGGTCGAGTTTAGACGATCACTTCGGTTATTAGGTTGTTACCGTTTTGCACGTTCCTTCGGTGCACAGCAAAACCTCTAAACGGTAAGGACGTCTTTGGAAACCAGAAAATTTTGCACCTCTTGTCTATAAAAAAAATCTCTAAATACGAAAAACTATAAATTACGGACACTCTTTCAGCATTTTTTATTTTTACATTGATATTTATTTGTAGATTTCTCGTAAATTTAAATTTATTGTAGAACGTCCAGGGTAAAAATTTGACACTCTTATTTGTAAAGCAATATTTCATTACATTATACATTATACTTTATCTTATCCGTCCAATCATTGAAATGATATCGCTTCAACGAAAATATAACATTTTTCTGGCTTATATCATGTGAAGTTGTCCTGTTGGTATTAAGTCATGTTTGTGATTCCAGTATACTAACGTCATTTTAGAAATATGAAGCCTTATGGAGACATTGGGGGATACATTTCCTCTATCGACAAACAGATTACTTAATTGTTCTCCAGCATAGTCCAATTATAAAAAGCCTTGACATACAAAGTAAAACATGACATACGAAGTGGCTAAGCATCGAAGTCATAAAGAATCCAAGCTAACACATTTTTACTAAAAGTAAAGTAACCGATATTTTTTGGTAATTAATTGACTTTATTGAAATTCACTTTACTTCTCTCTCAAAACAGCGGCGATCGGGAATGTCCGGTGTTTAAAGGTTTTACTGTAAAACGTAAATTAATTGCCGTTCAAAGACGTGGTTTAATAGTTATATTAAATAAATAAATAAATAAATTATCTAATCGACCGATAACTATCAGAAAATAATTCGTACGATAATTTATACTCATCGTAAATAATGGACAATGTACGGCTGTTGGAAATATCAATGGGCGATGCTCGTGTTTCCTGCATAAATTTCGGTTGTTTATTCGATTACTATTGTGACAGTCGTCATCGTAGTGCATTTATGAAAGCAGTTTAAATCGAGTAACTTTGTTTTGTCCAGTGTATATGATTCAAAATATTATTTATACTGATGAATAAATTGAATAAGTCGCGAATTTCTTCAGAAGAAAACGTAATTCGATTCTTTACTAGAGTTTTTTTTTTTTTTTATCTGTAACTTTTGTGAACGGAAATTATAGTTTGCTCGAACGTAACATGGATTCGGGATATACAGACGATTTGCCCATTCTTCTAGTTCGTCACCAATTTTTACGGAATATGCGATGAACGATATGCGATTCATTTGAACGAAGAGAAAACGCGATTATAGCCGTAGTACGATGGCCAATCATACGAAATCAAATCACCTGTAAATCGAAAAAAATAAATAACACACGTGTACCACACGCATATTATGTATGGATTTGTTAAACACGCATAGAAAAATTAACCAAACGTTTTTATCCGTTCTCTAATCACATAAGCGCAACCGTCAACCCGCACTGCGGCCGTATAGCAATGTATAACATGCTGCTCGATCTTATTAGTTACCCGTCGTTAAATGCTCAAAACATTAGCCTCCCCTGGTGTTGTCGATAAATTTGAGTTAATGTTCCGCAACGGTGGAAGAACAAATACTATCCAAATAATCACCACCGATTAACGTTACGAGACCTAAAACCAATGTCCGACAAGAGACGCATACTTGTATTTCTAATTTTTTTGTTTTTTTTTTTCATCGACCAAACCATATGCAAATATATATTTATACCGTTTTCAGGGCGATTGAACGAATACAGAACATTTCACTCAGAACAAGTGTGCATAAATATTTGATTGAAGCGAAATGTTATGGAAATAAGTAACCCGCGCATACGATGGCTCTCATTTCATGTGACCACGTTCGCAATGATCGTAATGGACAACGAATTCATACAACAGCATGGAATTGATTCATTTCTTATTACTAACGTGAGTACCCGAAAAATAAATTAGAAATTGATTCCATACATATAATTTTAGCAGTCGGACTAATAAAAAATTTGAATTACAAAAATAACGTACCAAAAAATGCTGCTTGCAATAATCTAGTTGAAATATTAAGCTAATATGCCTTGTAGTAGGACATACTCGTACATGAAATATTTGGATGTATTTCAATCACAATTATAAGTTTTACATTTTATTTTAGTATGATTTTTAGAAAACCAACGCTTTTTTTAAAAACTGTAAGCTCAAACTATTAACATCTGACTCGTAAATCTTTTAAATTAATATTATTTATTTATTTTAATATATATAATTTTAACACTCCCAAAAGGGTAGTTATAATACAAGAAATGACATACAAACTAAAATCTAATAGTATAAAAAATAGAAAATTCATCATAGAAAGTACAATTTTTAGTTTAAGAATTATTCATAACAATCATTTTTAACTTAACTAGAAAGTATAAATGAAAGATTAAAAACGAAATTAGGTATATTATTACAATATTTCAAGAGTTGGTACTTTGGACTATTTACAATTAAGTTACTAGAATTCCGAGGAACCAGAAATGGAGAATTGTATCTGAATTTAAAATCTGGAACTGTGAGATTTATTTCTTATAGAAATTAAGGGCATACTTAGAGAGTCATATTATCGTCTACAAGTAAGCGGTCAATGACATTTTAGCGTTGCTGGACCGGTTTGGCGTAAGAAGTTTAGAGCCACAATTTTGCAAAATAATGCCATTAAGATGTAGATCTATCATGAATTGTTTATTTTTGTAACGTTCTTGCACGAGACTCCATACGATCGTGTAATTCAATGCTAATATCGTAATTGATTCGATGACATTACTTGGTGTCTTCAAAAGCGTCTTTTAAGTAATGGAATTTTTGAATTGATAAGATGTTTTTGTACTAGAGCTTCAAATTTATTTTTAAAGGTCAACCATTTTGTCGGATCACCGTTAAATTTTGGAAGTAGCATTGGTGCCATGAATATCCGTGTTATGGATTTGTGTTTAACATCCTGTATTGTTGAAATGGTCTTCACTTCTATGTATGTTTTTATGCTGCTTGCTAGTTTATAATAATTATTCTCAAAACTTTCTCGTTCATTAAATTGATTTTTCAATGGACCTAGGAGCTCAATTTCTTCTTGTGTTGCCATAAATGACTGCCATACATTTTCATACTTGCTCAGACGTACTTGCAATTGCTGCATATCTTGTATATTGTCAAAACTTTCAAGGTATTTTTGTAATTTGGTGGTCATACCTTTATATACATCCTGTCGGCCGATTAACTTTGCGAATTTTTGTTTCGCTTCCTCTTCCATGTTGATTCCTTGCTGTTATAATTTTATGCATAAGGAATTATGAAAAAGACCCGACAATCAACAATATGTTTGTTTAACTTAACTAATGATTTACTTAATGCCTAACCTATTAAATTAATTTATTAACTTAGATTAATCTTACCGGATAAATGCTTTCGATGCAATTGATTTAATCCACGCGACCTACACCGAGATCTATATTTATGATTTATGACAATAAAAAAACATGTGATTTCGCGTGTATGCGATGCATCTACTTGCAATTACCTTACAGCCGAAGTGAATGCTGGCATGCCCAATAAAGTTGCACCTTGAAATTATTTGGACTGTTACCTCGTTGACCTGATGTCACGCCGTTGACGGAGACGGTATACTACTCTGCGCTTTCAAGGTCAACCACTTCGTATACTATGTGGTCTGCGTGGTTATTTCCACTGAGCACTATAATATTTATATAGATTTAATAAAATTTACGATGTTTTCAAACAAATACTTGAACAATAACTGCTGATGGATATTGACTGACTTTGACTTAATGTCGTGGTATGTATCCGGCCCGATGGACCAAATTTTGCGTTTTCTGGGCTGATGTTCATTACATATGCGCCATGAATTGAAATTATAAATACGCACGTTTTAATTGATGTAGTGGACTGTATTATTTATACGATTTTAGAATTGTTTAAATTACAAAAATAATTAATAAAAATAAAACGGATAAACGGATACATATATTATGGCGCACGTATCTGTACACGCATGCAATACGACTGGTTACATATTATACAGTTCGACCAAGACAAAAAAAAACGATATCGTCTGATAAGCGGCTATCATAATAATAAATATTATAATAATAAGAATAATAAACATTGATAACAATAATAAGAATAATTGCACACACTGGTTTTACAGATAATAAATACGAGTAATTACATACATTCAGTATTTACTGAACAATATTGAATATATAATTTATTTTACGTGTTGAATCTGAATCTCGTATAGTACTCGAAAACAAATATTTAAAAATGAATGAAAATTTAAAATTGTTTAAATGTTTAACTTAATTCAATTTTTAGAAAATTTATAACCGATAGATATTAAACATTTATAAAATATTTAAATTTTTTTTAAATATATATTAAATATTGAATAAATATGCATATGCTGTGTGGGTCATTCTTGTCCACTGACGAAAACGGCTCCTTTATAATGTACCATAAAAATGTTTAGTAATGCCATAATGTTAGGAAACAACAGGAAAGAAAACATATCAATTTCACAATATTTTATTCGTACCATTCAGTGAATAAAATTTAAACTTTGAAATGGAACGGTGATATTCAACCACACTCGGTGATTACAATAGTAAAGTATTCATTATAAATGAAGTTGACGCATCTACATCATCGACGAAGGACTGTGTCAGGTCTGAATTGAAATTTTATCAAATATGACCGATTTTGATAAAAAAAAAAACTGTGAAAACATACAAATAAATTTTGAAAAAAAAACCAAGTCAAATATGCAAAATTAAATTTTAAAGTCTAGTGCCCTGTAACAAGCCAAAAAAAAATAAAAATAAAATTCCTGATACATTCAATTAACATTTAAACTTATTCTGATATTTTTAAATCATCTTAATAACATAATATAAACGGAAAAAACAAAACAGTTCAACCCACTATTAAAATAGTAGATTTAACAGTATTTTATAATCGCTATAGGGATAGCTATAATGTTAGTGATATTTACTATAATGTACTAAATAAGTTATTATAGTCTTTGTTACAAGAAAATAAAGTAATTTTTACTAAAATTTTATTGTTCAATATATATTTTAATTTAGTTGTTCAAACAGTATTTATAGTAGTACACAATGGAATTTATAATAGATAGAACTGGAAGTTTAGTTCATATCACTGCAGCAGAAATTTAATTTACTATAATTAAGAGTTTATTGAGCTATACTCGTAATAACCACTACTATAAAATTAAGTATTCGTAACCAAGTTTTATAATTAATTATTTTATATATTTAGCAGTACCTGCTGTCATGTATATTATTTTTACTATCAAATTACAATATTATATTCATTCAAATTTTACCTATTATAATTGCTATTTATTTTGGCTAGTACATGCTTTTACTTATAAAATTTAAAAGAACGTTGTTAAATATGGTATCCAAATATAATTTCGTTTTTGTAAAAAAAATATTATTTTTTTTTTTCAATTGTGTTATAGATTTACTGGTTATTTAGTTACTAATTAAAACATACTTAAAATTTTGTATATAGTTATATTCCAAAAATAAATAACAATAAGATATATTATTACTACTTTTATCAAATAAGAATTCACCATGGGCGGCGGACATAAATCTGGTCAAGTCCGTGCATGTTATACAACAAATTTAATACTAATTAATTGCAATTGGTGGAGTATTTAATTGTTCCAGGTCTTATCTTGGTGTCTTATCATGTGCGACGTGGTGCGTTCTCATTCGAAAAATAGTATGCGTTTTTTTACAATAAATAATATAAAAAAATATAAATTTGAAATAATTAGGACAGCTTAGTAATAGGATTTATAATTAAAAAACTAAAGGAGTATGTAGTAAGTAGATATTTATTTAAATCAGGGGTCGGCAATCTTTTGAATCACACGGCCATATTTTTTCTTCAAATGTTTATCAAGGGCCACATTATAATTTTTTTTTTTTCTTATAATATATACTAATAATTGTATTGTTATTACATTTGATTATTTTACATAGAAATATGAGTGTAAAAAATACGAATGTTCCTGGAAAAAATTAAATTTGTTAGCAAATTAAACATAATGGCTTACCTTTGTTTTCGACGAAAAAGTATAAATCAACCCAAAAATTGTTAAAAAAACCGATTCCCATCAAAAATTTCTCTTTTTTTTTAGTCGCCATAATGTTTGGATTTACTTGTAAAATGAAACTATTAAAAACGCAAAGTAACTATCACCATAGATTAAATATATTAGATACATATGTATTAAATACATAGATTAAATATATTTAAAATTTTAAGTTTTAAATATATATAAGTATATTTAATTTATCCTATGACTGAGTGGTGCAGTCATCATTATCTTCGACTCCGAATAGATAATAATAACAATTTCATAGATTAAACTGACTACCTAACTATATAGAATAAACATCAACTTTTGACGATTAGATTAGATTTTATTTATAAAGAAAAAAGAATTGAATAGTATTGAAAATTATATGAAAAATTTTATTGAACAAATATAAAACACAAAAATTAACCACCTTTGTGCGAGCCATAAAAAATTGCCTCGCGGGCTGCGGGTTGCCGACCCCTGATTTAAATAATTTGAACAAAACTCGAAAATAACTGTATACATTAATAATCTACTGCATATTTAGTATATAGTGTAAAAAACTTTCCGTTTTGACTTGAATCCGTAGAAACTTAGAGAATCGTCGTACGTCGAACTTTCTTGAAGGAGTGTTGCAAAATATGATTAATAAACGACTGACAAAAGGGTTATGGTGACCACCATCCATTAACTCATAATAGGTTTTGTAAGAGACAAAATTCTTAAGAATTTTCATTTCATGCCACGCGTGTTGCCTCTTGCCTTATTTTACCTTTCTGTTAGCTACTCGCGCGTGTTCAGTTTTCGCCGAGTTACATTTCGACCGTTACGATTTATTATATTTTTTAGTGATTTGATATATTGCTATAGTATTCAATTATCTGAGCTATAAAATATAATTGATTAAAACATATAAAAAAAATTAACTATAAAATATAGTAATATTCACTATTGAAACCAACTATTTTTATATAGCCTTAATAACTTTACTGTTTTAGTCATTCTACCTATAAAATAGTGATTCTTACTACATTTTCCGTGACCATAAAATTTTAGTAATTTTTTTTCCCGTGTATATTATATTATATGAAATATGTGAATTCGAACCACTTGATCGAAACTATTATATAGTCTTATACATCTACAGGACGTTTATTTATAAATATATTATAAGATCAGTCTTTGATGTCCAAAATTGGTGTTCTGCTGAACCTTCAAACATTCATCCACAAAATATACTCAATGTTTTAAATAAAACATTCCGACTAATTTATTTAAAACTTAAAAAAAAAAAAAAAAACTATTCCACTTGAACTATGACAATCATAAACTACGTTATAATCGTATCAAATTTTTCCGACTGGCAAAGCTTCAAGGTCCGTTTAAGTCACGCATAAATTTCTATCTGGCATAATTCCTCCACGACACTTATTGGTAAAGAAACTGGTTTTCCGAATAGCGCACGACCGTTTCTACAACTCGGAACACGCGAGAGGCTTTTAACATAATATTTGCACTGCGTAATGTTACTATAAACATATTGTAATTTATTACGCGGTGCAGTTACTCGAGCCGCCGGTCATGATCGTTGCGGCATTTACCATAACTATCCCTTAATTAGGCGTGTCTCTGGGGCGGCAGAACAGCGAATCGAGTAATCCTCAAAAATGTCACCGCTTTTCGGTAATTTCACCGTGAGTTTTTTGGAAAACTGGTGATAAATTCAAAATATCATCCTCCTAACACTTTTTACCTACGGAAAACATAATGGTTGACGATCTTTGCGTTAGAAATTACGTGTTAAGCGGATAGAAGCAAAAAAAGAAATTGAACAATAAATATAAAAATAAATCGCATCATATTATATGGTAAGACATTACATGGTTCACTCGGAATCCATAAAAGAAAAAACAAATACAAATAAATTTAAATATCAATTAATACAATAAAGTATGGGTCCAATAGCATTAACAAACATTAGACACACGCGCCAGTTGGCAACCGCTCTTTTAAGGAAAAAACATGTTGGTTTTCTCTCCGTGCGCCGCACGACCGTGGTGATCGAAAAAGTTGTTTTCTAACATGTAAATCTAAACAACCAACGAACGACACCGTATAGAACTTATCACCGTTTGAACATTATATGAAATACTATTATTATTAAAATATATGCCAAGTACTTGATTATTTGGTCTGATAGATCCGAAAAAACAAAAAAAAATGTCATAAAACTCCAAATACGATGTCAAAAAAAAAAACCAGTCGTCGAAACACAAAAAAGTATATTAATGCATATGTCGTGTACGAAATGGTCTTGTCTATTAAGGTTAATAATATAAATATTCAAGTATTTTCATACGGTGAGAATGTGGCGGACGGAGAAAACCGACAGGTGCGGTCCAATAAATATAAAAAAAAAATAGTAATAATAAATAATAATATATAAATAAATGAAAATAAAGACAGCAAAAATATACGATTAGGCTTTTAGTAAGAGCAATTTTGAAATAACAACTAGGCATTAAACGACAAACTATATGCTATACCTTTTACAAAGTTCTTATTATCATTAGTATTGTAATTTGTAATTATCAAATGAAGTATTTTAGCACCGTCCTTGTACTTTTTTTTTCTATAAAGTTCTCCAGCATTAAACTGTTCTCATTTCAATCTTCTACATTATGAATTTTTTTTTATTCCATCAATAAATTTCCACATAGTAGGATGGCTTCCTCCCAACATCGGCGTATTTAAGGAGGGAGAGGTGATCGACAATAACCAAGTTAATTAAATGTTAAGTCTAATGTAACCAGAATTATGAGTAGACCGATACTGTTAAACTTACAACGTTAACTTATCGGGCTACCATTAAATTGTATTTCAGTAATATAATAAAATCACATTTATAACTTAAAAAGTGTTTTCTTTATTTTTCTTCAAACTTCTACCAATGAACGTGTAATTACTGCAACAAAAGATGACTTCGTCGTAAAAACATTTTGAGTCAGTTTATGATCAGACCAATAGTCACCACAATAGTAATTATTAATAAAATAATACAAACCAATAATACATGTAAATCCCTGTGCCATCCGATTTCTGAAAATGAAAAAAATGAATATCGATAATCGAATCAAAAATGAAATTGCAAAAAATAAATATCAATATTTGAAACCAAAATCGAAATCAAAAAAAATTAATATCAATAATCAAAATTGAAATTAAAATCGAATTTTTTTTTTCGATTTCAAGCCCTGCTATAAAACCATGGAAATCCTAAGAATATTCTGTGAAAATAGTAAATACCATGGGAGTTAGTGTCGATGGGGGATTAATCACAAAACAACTGTGTTATAATTTCCAATTTCATTTCATTATTCAACTAGCATGTGTTCTTTTCACATCTCGTTAGAATTTATATTATATTGTTATTAGTTTATTATATTTCTGTGAAGGTATATTATTTTTGATTTTTGGTTTTTTGATAGCTAGTTAATACTTTTATGTATAATTTTAAATTTCCCCAGTAATTGTTTTGAGCGTAAAAAAAACTAATATTATGTATGCAATTTTTTTATTTTTGCAAATTGGAAAATTTTAACTTTAAATTAAGTTAAGTTACTTTTTTTCGAAGTTAACTTTTAACTTAACGAGTTAAAAAAAATCGTTAACTTTCCCAGCCTTGCTATTTCTATAGTACATATTATAGCATGTGGAATATTTTATGTATGAACAGCCGCTTTTATGTTATTCACAGCCATTTTGCATTGGATTTTACGTAGAACGGCAACATCATTATGTGAGTTTTCCTTTGAGTTGACTTTTAATTTCCATGTTTATCGTAATTATTTTATCTTTACCTTTCTATGCAATACTAATATATTGTATTGTTTTGTTTTTTATCTTCACGATGTAAAAATCCACTGTACAATATTAAATCTTTATTTGTATTACTTTTTACTTATTCCATTGAAAATAGTATTAAATATGGTATTTTTTTCACTACATATTATTTTTCTAACCAACGAAATCATTAAATTAATTAGTCTTTCTTTTCTGCTTATTCTACCAAATTAATTACCATTTAATAATCTCTGTAAGAGATCATGCCACTCCCACCGCTTATTTACACTCTTATCATCGATTATATAGTATTATATATATAATAAATAATATAATAATAATAATATTTAATTATAACTGATGCTCTTATTTTCCTATCGGGGTTGAAGTAGAGCGGTACACGAAGCGTTCGCTGAGTTCCCTTCATCACTTCTAACACCGTGCGTAAAAAACGTTACCCCGTTTTTAATGATTTACTTCAGTGGTTACCAACTGCGGTCCATAATCATTTACTAACCGGCCCACTAAAGTATCATATCAAATTGAAAAATTTGACTTTCGGCGTTACGAATATGAGTGCATCAAAAAGTTGATCAATGAGATACAAATTTGAACACCACCTGACGAGTTCAAAAATAAAATTTTAGTTCGCATATTTTCGCATATTTCGAGGGTTTTTATATAAATGTGCATATTTTAAAATAAAATTGCATTTTACTGCACTTCATTGCAATTTACTTGTGATTTTTTTTTACATTAATGTTTCATGAAAATGTCGGATTTTAAGAATATTTTAAAATATATTTGTTAATAAAAACGTCGCCAATATAAAAAGAAAACCTGTTTGAAATTATAGGTCTTACTTTAATAATTTAATATTGTGAAATTACTACTTTACATCCTGATAGGCGATAAAGCTGGTAATAATTCTAGCTAAATTTAATTAAAACCTTAAGTAATCGACAGTCGTTATATTCTCGAATACTCTGAGAACAGATCCGAAAAAACTATTATTTAGGAAAGCATTAAGTAGGTAATTCCAAGTATTCAAAGTATCATTTAGTAACTATCGAGATTGTCGTGACAGCACGATACAAGAATATTCTGAGAGTTTAGTCGTGTGCGATCTGTAGTATGATTTTTTTATATCGGTTTCCTTTAATTTTAAAATGCCAAAAATCGAAACGAATCGAATTTATAGTTACGTGGCCGGATTCGGTGAACATATATTGCATCCAATGGAGTTGTTTTATTTTGTAAAATGTTCGAAGTAAAGGTGAACAGTGACAAACGTTTTTGCGTAACTCAGCATTGAAAAACTGAGAAACATGATCGACCTGCTAATTGTTAAGCTAAAAAGAGTAGTTAAACGCAACCGCTTATCACGACTCAACCATCACAAAAATCTGATTTTAACAAAGATTTATGCAAAGCAATGTTAAAATCAAACATTTCGTTGGAAAAACTAAGCAACGCCCGTTTTCGATCGTTTACAAAATAATAAATACAACATAATACCTATATCATATTAATTAATAATTAAACTGTGCATGTTTTCCCCATATTTTAATTATTATTTTGACCAAAAACAAAAATAACTTTTTATGTTTTTTTTAAAAAAAATCTTGATAGTTTTTAGTGCATGAACTTCCGGACAATAATTATAACCATGATCTATAATATATTCAAATCTACTAGCATCTGACTACGCCCGATAATAAATAAAAGTAACCATATCATTTTTATAACTTATAATGTTAGTTATTGCTGTTTTATAGTAATCAAACATGAATAATAAAAGAAAAAATAATAACTTACTTTCATATTTCAATAAAAGTACTAAGTCAGCTGTCGACACTATCTAAGTAAAAAGTTTTGAGAGGGTGGGGGATTTTTCCAATTTTCCCCTCCTATTTGGCTATGTCGTTTTCTTTTTTTGATTCCGCCCCTTTCAGAAATCATGTCTATGCCACTGCGTGTGTGTGTGTGTTTCTTTGCGTCTCTGCGTGTAATCGTATACTGGTGCGTTGTTCAAATGCGGCGGCCAAACGGTTACTCGAACGGTGTCCTGCCCACGCGAAACAATGTTCTCGGGCCGACCCGCTACGCGCGCGCGCACGACGAAGCAGTCGCAACCGGTGTACCGCTTGCACGATCTTGTCGACAACACCTGATTCCGTGGTCAGACCGCGGCCGGGACACTCTTACGAACGCGTTTTCGATTCGTGCCAACGCGACCGGGGAAGTGTGGAAAAGGATAACCGATAAAGGCAAAAGAATATCCCGCCGCCATCATGGAGGACGTCCGCAACGAACCGTAAGTCTTACCCCGGGGGGGGGGGGACTTGAGCGACGGGACGGCGCGGGAACTGAACGTTTTCGAACCCGAAATCGTCTCGAAAATCGCGATAACCGATACTTATGCTATCGCTATTATTATTACTTAATATTGCATCCATCACGATTGCACATGATAACGTATAATAACCGGGGGGTGCGATCGCCATTGTGGCGTTTGCGTGTCAATCGAAATCGATCGACTAACCCGCAGGTACTACGAGTAAGTTACAAATATTTATTGTTCACAGTGATTAGAGGTTACAAGAATTTTTCTTTGTTTTCGCATCCTTTTGACGATGCGACCGTTTCCGAGCGCTTGCCGTTACGAACACAAAAAGAGGGTTTTCTTTATTTTTTTAGAACCGCTAGTCACGAGCGTAGACAATAACGATTTACGACTCGAAACGCACGGATGGATTATCAGTTACACACGATTGAGCATGGTCAAATTTTCGGTTTTATTATTTTCAACATTGTCTTATCCAATAACTTCCGTATAAACGACTGAGCGCGATATCATCACCCGATATTTCGACCGAAAAAGGTAAAACGTATTCGACCGTTCGGTAGCCTAAAATATTTCTACATTATTTCATGTAATTCCATTGGCCCGTGATTATTATTGTTATTCTACATTGCTTATGATTGTACACGCGTGACCGAGACATTTTACTATTAGCAGAGTCTCCTGATCATTTTTTCGGTGCATTCACTTTCCGGGTTTTTCAATTTTCAACATGTTTTCTTACTGCGTTGAACGTATACGCACGTTTTCCGGAGTGTTAAAATTGACGAACACGCGGCAACCCCTCGAGTCCAAAACGTTGTGTGACATAACGATTCTTTAATATTATCGTTGTACGTGTTTTTTTTTTTTTTTTTTTACCAAGTCGAACATTCATCTTTTACACATTTCCCGTTGTAGAATACGATCATCTAGACCAGCGTTTCATAAACTGTGTTCCGCGTTACCCTGGCGTTCCGCGAAGATTTAGTAATTTTTTAAAACTTTTTTTGAAAATTACTTTAAAATGTCCAACTAAATTAGAAATTAGTAAACTAGTGATTAGTAATGGTGAATAAATGTTTGCATTGTAGAAAAAAAAATCTTTGTATATTAAATAACAACGTATAAGCCGTATGGAATGGTCTAAATTTATATTTTGTCTAATTAAAATAAATATTATTAAAGTATTATTATATAATATATAATTACATACATACAGTGGAGCATCGGTTATCTGCACGTCAATTATCCGCACTATAAAATTTTTGAGTACAAATTTATTTTTAGTTTAATTTAATTTAGTTTTATCATTCGTTATATTATATCGTGTACTATAATGTTACATTATATATATATATATATATGTGTGTGTGTGTATGAATATTATATTTAGTATTATATCTAGTAAATTAGTTTTTAACTTTATATTACAATTTTCAATGGTTGTTTGATTATCCGCACAAATCGATTATTCGCACCCCCTTCGGGCTCAATTAGTGCGGATAATCGACGCTCCACTGTATTATGTATACAATTATTTTTATTTAAACATATTTTTTGAATTAAATATCTTTAATACAATATTATTATATGATTATAATTTATTTACAAATAATCTATAAAAAAAAATACGAGTTCCACAATAAATGTGGACATCAAAAAGGGTTCCACGGGTGAAAAAGTTTAAGAAACGCTACTCCAGACGAAAGCTCGGGGTGTAACGGTGGTGTGAAGTTTGTCACGCGCGCACCGCTACAATAGGTACGTTTTGTTGTGCACGGTGTTTCGATGAAATAGTACTTGTTCGGCGAGTTTATTACGGTGCATTATTATTATAACTGTTATTATGTGGCACGTAAAACTGTAACGACACGACTGCGGTGATACTAAAATTTATAATAATTTGATAACCGTTGCGGTCAACGTAATGGCCGCAGTAATTCTATAATAAAACGAGACAGGTCGAAGATGCATAAAAAGAACAAAAAAAAAAACAGTAGTTTTATTAGGTACTCTGCGCACCAAATCGTCCGTATCGAGTGAGCTTCAGTCCGTAGGGCTGCATTTTGAACAACATTCGGCGACGAGGTCCAACCGTTTTTTACTGTAGGCGGTGTGTGTGTGTGTGTGTTATGTTTTTTTTTTTTTTTTGTAACGAAGCGCTAACACCGTGTTTATCTAACGGTTATGTATCGAAAATTGTGTGTCGTAACATTTCCGGCATAGACACAGATGGTCGTCGATTGAAATCGATTTTCGGTCATCTCCATGATCATAATACGGACTACGTATGGATCGAAAAACCGTTCATTGTTTCCACGAGAACCGACGATTATTTTCGTTAACTTTCAATGGCCTTCTCACGCCCGTCGTAGAATACTTAGGGCATCCCGCCAGGGGCGTATTTATACTTATTTCTAGGGAGCGGGGGGGAGGGGGCCTTGATTTTTTTTTCTTCGATTCGGGCACAATATTCACAAGTAAAATTGTTGGTAATATTTAAGGCGAATACTTAATATTTATGGTTTTTTTATTTTATTTTTTTTTTCATCTAATTCCGGATCCACTTAGAACGGACTTTTATGTAGTTCATTTTTAACACCTATCTGTGTTTTGAAATTTTTGCTTGTGTTTTATTTGATTTCTCACTGAGTATGGACCAGGGCTTACATCAAAATAATATATATTGTTTACCGTTATGGGACATTTAAACGTTATAAGCAATTGAGCGTTTAACGCTATTAATAATCTAAACATTATTCAATTTAAGCGTTTGAACGTTATATAAATTTAAACTTTTAAAAAATTTTCCGTTTACCGTTATTGGCAATTAAATCGTTATGAACAATTTAGCGTTTTGCGTTATTTTGATTAATGTAAAATTTGAAACGTTTTCAAATGTAGTATTTAGCAATCAATACTATGTAAAATAACATTACACATTTTAAATATTATATTAAATATTTATTACCTTTAACCAGTGTTGTATTGGTAAGTATATTTGTGGTTATACGCACTAAAAAAATATGGATATTAATCCTAAAATAAATTTTCTTGTTTCGCTCGATACGTTCGGAAAAATTTAATTAATCCTTTGTAACTACATGTTTATAACTTATATTAAGACTTTAAAATATAACTCTACAAGATATAATATACATTTGCAGGCGCGTTATAAATTACATAATGCAGATTTAAGAAACATGGGCTGAATGTTCACACTCCATAATATTTTATTCAATGTTATTCACTACAGTTAACAAAATACTATAAACACAGCGTACACTGTAATCTTCAACAGCTAAATACGTCAATCAACTTCATGGTTTACAACAATTTTTTCCAATGAACTATTAAATTATTATTAGTTTTTTTGTTTTCTATTTATTTTAGAAGCTTACTCGTATACCCGTAAAATAATATTTTACAATAGGAATACGCCGAAAATCGAAAATCTGCTGATGTGAATACGCCGTATATCCGCCGCGTATACTTACCAATATACCCCTGCCTTTAACTATATTCTCATAATACATAACATATAAATAAAGCAATCATATTTGTTGTACAATAACAATAAAATGCACATACTACGTAAAATATGAATGTATTGTTAATTTATAACTTAGGTGCATTGTGATTTTCAACAAATAAGTATTTCAATCAATTTTATGGTATATAACAATCTTTTCCAATGAACTATGAAATTATTATTATTATTATTATTTTTATTTTCGAGTTATTTTAGAAGCGTCTACACGTAAAATAATATTTTACATTAGGAATACGCTGGAAATCGAAAAATCTGATGATGGGTAGACGCCGTATTCATTCCAATACACCTCTGCCTTTAACGACATATTTTTTTTTGTAATTCTCATAACACATAACTTATATATAAAGCAATCATATTTGTTGTACAATAACAATAAAATTCACATAATACGTAAAATATGTATGTATTGTCGATTTATAACTTAGGTATGATGTATTACTAATGTTTCATTAGTGTTCACCAAAATTATTTTTGATAAGGGGCCGTACCGACAACATCCGACGTATTTTCAAAAAGCATATTTATTAATTATGATTGGTAATGCTTATTTATATATTATTAGTTGATACATTTATTGCTGTTTTGAATATCCTTTTTTATACATATTTTATTTGGATTACCTTGTAATTTAAGTCAATTCTACAAAAATAACTATGATCCAAATTTATTTTTCTAATAGTTATAAATATTTTTCCATGGCAATTTCTTTTATGTTTCAATCGTTAATCGTTTTCTGTTATGTTATTCGCTATTAGTTTTAATCGTTTTTCGTTTCTGTTTCGTTAACTGTTATCAATTTCAATCACTTTTTGAATGGTTTAAAGTTATACCTGAAACGTTATAAAAACGTTTTGGTGCCCTAGTATGGACACCAAGTATCGATATAAAATGATCCATATTAAAAAATTTGAAATATTTATCCCACATATGATCGATTCCTCAAATACGGACTCAGGGGGGAACGCCCCATTTGGAACCCCTAAAATACGTCCCTGGATCCCGCGAGAACTCGCTATGGTGTAAGGCGGTAGTGGTTTACCGTTTTTATGGTGCGTGTGTTTTATTTTTTATTTCTGTCGGAGCGCGAATACCGAGTCGATCTTGGGCGCTTGCGTTATATTTTTTTGATTTCGTGATAAACGTGCATCGAAAATAGTCCGTCACAACTTTTCAAAAACATTGTCACGGATTGTATCTCAGGTGAGATCGATTTCTGGCCATCTCAATAATTAGTTAAAAATATTTGATTTGAAAAGTCGTAAATTTCCACAAAAATTGACGATCATTCGTTGTTCATTCTTCATTTGTTCATAACCATCCATAATGTCACCTTTACATGCAAACTCGAATCGTAGTAAACGAGGCGAAAACTCACAATAGTATAAAAAGGTGTCGCAGGTTTTTCGTTTTATTG